CAGCCCGGGCTGAGCGACCCCTCCATCCCCCCCGAGTGCACAAATTTTTGTGCACCAGGCCTCTAGTCTATATAATAAAAGCCTAAGCGACTGTTATGGCGGAACAACCAGAATGACCAGTCGCTATGATGCACACTGACCACCAGGGGGCAGACGCTCAACTCAGGAGCCAAGATAGGCCATTTGTATGGAAAAGCCACAAGAAAGAGTTTGGGTGAGACCGCAAGTTGGGTGGGGCAGTGTGTCAGGGAATCACCAGGGTGGGGAGAACTATGTTAGCCAGGCTGATGGAGACGCAGATATGATGCTTGTTTGCTGGCTCTGAGGGGAGGGTTCAGCAAAGGAACAATGGCTTCTGCCAGCACTTCTGTCCAGAATAAAACTGCACACCCCAGCTCTTGCCTTGATTCCAAGCATTCAGTTCCTCATTGCTTGTCCCTGGTGCCCCAGTGTGGAGCTTAGAGTGAGTCTGTCAGCGAGTCAGTCCATGTGTGGGCCCTTTAAGAGGAACACCTGGGACTCCAGCAGCCCTCCATTTCACTCAGCCACAATCTCTGCTGGTTTTTACAGCCAGAAGTTATGGGGACTTCTCTTCCAGACCCTGGAACCCTGGGCTGGAGAGCCTGATGTGAGCTGGGAACCCTGGCTCCTCAGGGGGGACCTCTGCAGCTGAGATATCCTTCCCAATGTTTAACCATCACACGCCCATTCCTATTGATCTTGATCCCCACCCCTCCTATTGATCTTGATGTGGCTGCTTCTGGATCTACATAGTTATAGGACTCCTGTTCAGCTAGATTTCAGCGGTTCTGCACGATGGGTGTTCTGTAATTTAGTTGTAATTTTGATATGGTTGTTGCAGGTTCTGAGTACTGCATTTACTAGTCTCTACGCTGACATGTTGATCAGATCAATAGTTATTCCTGTAGTACCCTTTGTTGGCAGTGACAGAGGAGTTTGTTCTGTTTTTAGTGCCACTGTATAATGGTATCTGTGCATGAAGGTACAAAGCAAAATGTGCCTTAATATTTTCCCACGAAATAACCTTCACAGTTGGCCTGGCCAGTTGTCCAGGTTGGAGACTGTAGCACGGATTATACATGGGCGTAGACATGCTATGGAAAGTCACCCTGCACAGAGTGACAGGGCCCACTGTTTGACTCCATCTTTCACCCCTCCAGCAGGACTCGCCAGCGCCACCCTCCACTTTCATTCCCAGCATCTCACCTCCCTTTAGGTCCCTTCTCATCACCTCTCATTTGGACACACTCACAGCTTCCCCTTTGGCCTCCCTGCCTCCAGCCTCTTCTCCCTCAGCTAGTCTTCCTTGACTCTGTTCTGTTCATGCCATTCTGCAGCCTTGCTTCAGAGCCTCGTCGATGGAGCCAGAGCCCCGAGGCAGGACTTCAGGGCCCTCACAGGACGCCCATGTCCTTTGTCACCTGACTCTGTGTGCCAGTCCAGCCGACTGTGCTGGCATTTCCTGCCTGTGCCCCCTTCCGTTTCTACTGGCGCAGCCATCCGCCAGGACGGCTGGAGCCGTGCCTTCTTTAAGAACGCTTCCCTAACGCACCTCCTTCCCGCTGTCCCACCGTAAGCAGCCCGGGCCTCTCCACACACGTGGGGCCCACGTCTCTCCACCAGCACAGGCAGCATTCTGACCCGTGTCCCATGTCCCTGTCGGACAGCCTGGCCCTGGGCTCTCGCACCTCATCCTTCCACAGAACCTTGTGCCGGGAGGCACCCGCTGAGTGTCTGCCACGTGGAGAAAGCGCTGCCTGTCCTCACTTCTCCCCTGAGGACTGGGACCTCACTCCGTAATGGCATCCCAGCACTCGACTCCCCATCCCCTCCCAGGACACCCCGAAAGAAGTGTCTTCGAGCTAAAGTTCCCCGAAGGAAATTTACGTCCCTGTCCTCTTCCGCCCTCCTCCCTGGGGATGCTCGGCTGCTGTGTGCGGACTTGCAGAACCCGTGGGAAATGGTGTGAAGTCACTCCCCAGACTCCTTCTCTTCAGGATGTTTCATCCCAGTTCCCTTGCCCTCCATGTGGATCTAATGTGTTTGCCTCTTTGATCATCACCCGTCTCTTTTCTACGTTGTTTCTAAACTCTCATCTTCCCTCCAGTTGAGGCAGGTTTAGATTGCCATTTCCCCGGAGCGGCAGTCAGCCTCTTGCTACGAACGAACTTCCTGAGTATCCCTTGCAGGTTGGGGGACCAGAGCTTTGGGCCCCAGAGCTCCAGACACAGGAGTGTCCCTCTCCAGCTGGAAAGGCCTTGGAGAGGAGCACCAGGGAAGGTGGGAGAGGGGAGAATTGGGCCTTGCTTCTGGGCCAGGGCAGACGATGTGGAGGCTGCAGAACCTCCACAGCTGCTCAAGCGCTGGGGTAGGAACCGGGCCCCAACCAGTGACATGCCCTCCTGGGTGTCAGGTAAGGTGGCGGTGGTCTGCATTCATTCCCAACCAGGGCCGGCCTTCACTGAGCATCTTGTCTTCAATGGAAATTATAAAACGTATCTTGCCTAGGCGGAGGCGGTGGCGGCAGCATCTGCGCCTTCCTGCGCTCCCACAGCGATCATGGGTTCCTGCTTGTCCCCGCTCATTGTCACCTTGAAGTTCCAATTTCATTGGGACGCACCCAGTAGGTAGAGCTCAGGTTTCGTTTCGCCCCTCTTAGGAAGTGGTCGTGCCTGATGTGTCTGTGAACATGCCGGTCCCTGCACTGGCTCCCAGCCCCTCGTTCCTCCAAGGGCGGGAAAGGCCCCAGGCCAGCTGCTCACCGCAGACCACGTGGAGTGTGCGGGGCCCGCTGTGGGCGCTGTGGCTGTGGCAGCGGCTCTTCCTCAGAGAACAGCTTCTCTGACAGCCGTGCTGTCCTGTGCCCGAATATTTGGAAAGACCCTCTGTCCACAGTGCTCTAACTTCTAACCCGTTCCCTCTTGTTTTCTATTGTAAAGGCTGGGTTTGTCTGTGGAAAGCATCTTCCGAGACTGGCTGGAGTGCCCAGGACTTCCCCAGGTGAGCCCGCCGCCTTCCGGAGGGAGGAGAGGGGTGAGGTGCTTGCCTGTTAGAAATGGGAAAGAACCCGCACCCCTGAGGCGGAGTCTCGCATCCCTACACCGGGAAGGCGATGACCGGTCTCTGCCCCGGTGACACTGTCCCCAGGATGCTGCCCGCCCTGGGCCGAGGGGATGGGAGCGCCTGCCACGTGCGGTGCGGATTTTGGGTGGTGGCGCCAGGGTGGGTTTGCAGCTGGGGCTCCAGCTCTGTTCTTTGGATGTGGCCAGACAGTGAGCGGCCGCCGGCAGCTTCCTCTGACCCGCTCCCCATGGCTTCTCCATCATGGTCTGCCCCTCCACTTCCTCCTCGAGCTGGGCATCCCTTCCTCAGGCTGGCTTCGCACCCCAGTGACCGGCCAGATGCATTTCTGTCTCAGACACTGGGACCTGTCCCTATGAACTCCGTACTGTCCCGAGCCTGAGGCAGCGCCGGCCCCTCCCATGGGGGCACCCTGGGTGGACTGGTCAGTGGCCCCTGCAGGCCTGGAGCTCTCCCACCCAGCTGCCCACCATAGCATCCCCTGCACCCCCCGCCCCAGGTGGAAGTGGACCCCCACAGCGGAGAGAACCCTCCCTGGACCCGTTAGCCCCATTAGCCTGCTCGTTTCTGGTTTCATGGCTGGTATGTGAGCTTCCCTTTGGGAGTGTCTGAATGTCAATGAATGTCTGTGAACCATGAAATTAAGGAGCAGGAGGGGGTGTTCTCCATTACCTTTCCACCCCTCTCCCCACATCTTGGTGCTGCTCCACCACACGGGAATGTGGGAATGTCGGCCACCAGCCGCCAGGAACTCATTCCTAGCAAAGTCGCATTGCCTTGGGCCACCTGTTAAAAGTTGTTTGTTTGGCCCAATCCTTCTGGAATCAAAAAGAGATTAAAATCCCTGAGTCCTTAAAAGGCGAAACAAAGCAGGGGCAGGGAGGGCAGCACCTGGTCCTGGGAGGGCAGGGCTTTCAGCTCGCACTGATTATAATGAGCCTCTGATTTCTAAGAAGGTACCTTCTAATCCAAGCTGCTCGCTGAGTACGGAAATCTCAGGGAAACAGGGTGAGGCCATCTGATCCTAAAAAGCCAGCCTGGCTCTTGTTTTTGAGGCGGGGGGGAGGGGGCCAGCATCCCCTAGAGCAGCCATGGGCAAACTGCGGCCCACGGGCCGGATCCAGCCCCTTTGAAATGAATAAAACTAAAAAAAAAAAAAAAAAGACCGTACCCTTTTATGTAATGATGTTTACTTTGAATTGATATTAGTTCACACAAACACTCCATCCATGCTTTCGTTCCGGCCCTCCGGTCCAGTTTAAGAACCCATTGTGGCCCTCGAGTCCAACAGTTTGCCCACCCCTGCCCTAGAGTCACTGCCTAGTGTGCCCAGGCGGGGCTGTTGCCAGGGTCCTGGACATTCTTCGCTGGGAAAAGTTGGGAGCTCAGAGAGCAGACTCCCAAATTTCCCGGATCCAAACAAGTCCGTGGAGTTCAGCAGTTGGTCCCCAGGGAAGCGCTCAGAAAGAGGCCTTAGCCAGGCCCAGCCTTGGGCTGTGCGGGGCTGCCCTTCATTCTCAGGAGGCTCCGGATTTCCCCTGCAGAGGCTGAGGCCTGCCACCAGCAGGAGGTTTTGCTTTTCCTTAAAAGGGGGAGGGGTACCTGGAGGGGAGAGATTAGCCGCGGAGCCACAGGTTCCTTCCAAAGGTCTAGGTGCATTAGTGACAGCTTATTGTGTAGGCAAGAATCTCTGCTGTCAAAACACCGCCAGGTGCGGCGAGGCCAGCCCAGCTATAAATTGTCTTTAAGACCCAACTGGTATTTCCTTGGGTGCTTAACTGTTCAGTAAAAACAACGGCGTCCGGCAGGAAAGGCCCTGATTTAGTGCACTCTTCCCGCTGGTGAATGATCAGACGGCGCCTTTTCATCTCTGCCCACTCTCTGCCCTCATTTGTATGGTTTATGGTGATTGCCTGCCCGCCTCCTTGGGCGCTCCTTCTCCTTTCCACTTCGGTGCAAGGCCCTGGAAGGCGGGGCCCTCTGGTTGCAGGAGCCTGGGGTGAATGGGACACCTTGTTCTTTGTCTCCATCACTGTGATATAAAGTTACGGGTGTCTGGGCCTGGACCGACAACCGGAGCCCTGAAATCGCTCTGATGCTCTTTGTTCTCATTAAAAATTCCTGCCCCCCAGCAACCGAAGTCACTCGTGACAAAGGAGTCGCGTTCCACTGGTGAAGTTTTCATTCCGCGGTTACAGTGGCTTTTTGTCTTCCTCAGGAAGGTGTGCCTTGTGGTCGGCCTTGATTTTCCTTTCTGGCCACATTGAATGGAAATCATTTTTAAATGTGGAAATAGCTTCACCAGCAATAAAAGTAAGCATGAGCCCCAAAGAAGTAAAAGCAATTGGATCCACACCTCCTTAAAGAACACCCAACCCCATAACCTTTGGGTTTGCAAACAGATTAAAATTGATTCTACCATTGGTATTACAGATTATTTCCTTTCATGGCTTTTTTCCCCTGATTATAGAAGTATTACATATGTATTTTGGAACCTAAAGAAGTTTGTAAGAAAATAAAAATGACCCAGAGATAGTTTTTAAAATTAATCCTTTCAGTCCTTTTCCAATACAAATATGTAGTTTACTCTTTTCTTTGTCTCCCTTTTTAAAAATAAAAATAATATCTCCTCTGTAGCAAGTTCAAGCAGGAGCAAAATACACAGCATCAAAGGCCTGGCCCTTCAGTCGCACCCACCAGAGGAAGCCATGCTGATCACAGTTCGCATCTTCCTGCCACACGTGTCTGTGTCCGGGCTCCGTAGCATGGAGGTGCATATTCAAAACACAATTGGAAGTCTTCACTTAAAAATACACCTGAAGCAAGTGGTGTATGGAAAACAGGACATATATCTTCAGTTTTGGACCACATACAAAAATAAACTCATTTACATCAGTTTAAATGTAATGAGATTTAAATGTAAGACCTGAAACCATCAAACTCCCAGGAGAAAAAATAGGCAATGAATTCTTCAACATTATTCCTGGCAATAACTTTTGGGGCAAGGGCAACAAAAGAAAATAATAAACAAATGGGACTACATAAAACTAAAGAGTTTTTGCACAGCAAAGGAAACCATCAACAAAATGTAAAAACAACCCACTGAATGGGAGAAGATATTTGCCAACAATACTTCTGGTCAGGGGTTAATATCCAAAATATATGAGGAACTTATACAACTTAACACTAATAAAAGCCCAATCCAATGTAAAAATGGGCAGAGGACCTGAATAGACACTTCTCCAGAGAAGACATACAGATGGCCATCAGATAAATGAAACGATGCTCACTGTCACTAATCATGAGGGAAATGCAAATTAAAACCCCAATGAGGTATCACCTCACACCTGTCAGAATGGCTGTCATCAGTAAATCAACAAATAGCAAGTGCTGGGGAGAATGTGGAGAAAAAAGGGAACTCATGCACTGTTGATGGATTGTGAATTGTTGCAGCCACTGTAGAAAGCAGTATGGAAGTTCCTCAAATTATTAAAAATAAAGCTGCCATTTGATAGAGCAAATCCACTTTTGGATATTATCCAAAGAAAACATAAGCACTAATTTTAAAAGATATATAAATATATCTCTATGTCCATTGCAACATTATTTACAATAGCCAAGATATGGCGGCAACCTAAGTGTCCATTGGTAGGTGAATGGATAAAGATGTGTATATGCAATGGAATATTAACTCAGCCATAAAATAGAATGAAGTCTTGCCATTTTTGACAACGTGGATGGACATAGAGGGTACTGTGCTATAAAATAAGTCAGAAAGACAAATGCCACATGATTTCACTTATATGTGGAACCTAAAAAAACAAAACAAATGAATAAGCAAATAAAACAGAAACAGACTCACAGAGAACTAACTGATGGTTGCCAAGGGGACGCGGGGGGAAGATTTTTAGAAAATGGTCCATAGGTCAGTTGTGTGATCTTCTGGGAAATTTAAAAAAAGAGCAGTTATTAGACTTTTAAAATATAACAGAAAAAAATCAGTTTCCTATCCTTGTGTTGTCATAATCATTTTAAAAGATATTAGATTTTATTCCACTGTGCCCTGGGTTGTGATGATCGTTGTGTTTGCCTGATTACCCAGAGTACTAACTAGCTGAAGAATAAAAACTATCTTCCGTACCTTGCCCATTTTAGAAGCGGGAAATTATAGGTCACTTTACTTTGTATTATAAGAAAAAAAAAAAGGAATCTTACATTTAATGTCCTACAGTAAATAGTCACCTGGAAAGCACGCCGAAGGAACATAAAGAACATTAGGAGGGGAACCTTTGTGCGCTGTGAGGTTTCCATTACGGTCAATGGGGTTTGGAACTGAGTCCCTGTGCTTCACCAGCCCTGCTCTGTGCTCCTAAGGGCTAGATGTAAAGCTGGGGTGGCTCGCCCTAGCCCCGTGGTTGGCAAACTGCGGCTCGCGAGCCACATGCGGCTCTTTGGCCCCTTCAGGATGGCTCTTCCACAAAATACCACGTGCGGGCATGCACGTACAGTGTGATTAAAACTTCGAGGCCCATATGCAGAAGTCGGTATTTTGTGGAAGAGCCACACTCAAGGGGCCAAAGAGCCGCATGTGGCTCGTGAGCCGCGGTTTGCCGACCACTGCCCTAGCCTGTTTGACTCAGTGGACAGAGTGTCAGCCCACGGACTAAAAGGTCCCGGGTTTGATTCCTGGTCAAGGGCACATGCCAGGGTTTCGGGCTCAACCCCCAGTAGGGGCCGTGCAGGAGGCAGGCGATCAATGATCCTCTCTCATCATTGATGCTTCTCTCTCTCTCTCCCTCTCCCTTCCTCTCTGAAATAAAAATATAAATATTTAAAAACCAAAACTGGGGTGGTTCAGGAACTTCCTAAGATTTTAGAGTTAGAGCTTTTCTTCAAAAATAAATGAAAACATAACACAA